AGCCCTGGAAGGAGAGGGAGGCAGCAAACCCAAGCAGCAGAGAGGACAGGCAAAAATAGAACAGAAGCCAACTGGATGCATAGAGGACAATGCTGCAGACTTGTTAAGGCTGGGGCTCACTCAGCTGAGGACATAAACAGGACTGAGCCAGAGCCCTGCCGGGCTCCACATGCTTTGGTCATACTGTGTGCAATGGCCAAAGATGGCCCAGGGGGCCGGGGTGCTGCAGGGCATCACACCTTGGCTCAGGGCACCATGCTCAAGGCAGAGTGGGAGGAGGCAGCAGCCCAGGCACACACAGGCAGGCGAGTGAGCATTCATGGGGCAGTGTCCAGATGCCTCTCAGAACCTCTGTTCTGGACAGAGGCAGCCCTGGGAGCCTGGCAAGCCCTCTTCCTCCCTTGGGTGCCTGACTTGTGACACCGTGGTCCTATAAACTGCCCCAGTGCTGGCACAGCTCGGAGCCAGCATGGAGCCTCCAGGTCCCACAAAGCAGCTCTCCTGCTGCTCACTTGCCTTCCCATGGGCAGGGGCTGGGGAGAGCCCCAGGGCTGACAAAGACAGCCCTATGGACTGTGCAGACAGTGGAGGGAATGGGGTGAGACACATCCCTGACAGGTTTTAGATACGAGGGCAGACTCTGACAGGCAGTGAGGTTTGCCCTCACCTAGGACAGAGTCCTGGGAAATGGTGTACCTGCCACAGCTCCACACCATGCCCATTGTGGGACAGGCAGGGTGAGAAGCTGTACAAGAGCTGCAGGCTCATGTGCTTTCCTGTAGGCTCAGGGCAGACTAGTTTTCAACCTGCCTGACACAAGGGAGGGTTCAAGCTTCAGCTCTGGGGACAAACTCAGGGCTCCAGCTCGGCTCTGCATCCCCATAGCATGGCCTCCATCTGCTTTTGTGCACTCTGGTGTGACACAAACCACCTGATTTGCCCTGCTCGCTCATGACTGCCACCCACTCCTCAGGAGCCTCTGGCAGGAGCACAAGAAGAACAGGCCAGATGCATATTCCAGCACGCAGAATTTAAAGCAGTGAGGTCAGATTCCTATGAAGCCCAGTCCTTCAGTCACAAGTCCTTCAGGGGTCTCAAGACCCCATGCTCCCACGCACAAGACTCCTCCAAAGCAGTCAAGATGCTAAATGCTCTGGGCTTTTCTGGCTGCAGGAGTGCTCCCTGTGGGCTCAGGAGCAGCTTCACAGAGGCAGGACTTGGCTGGTGTGGACATCACAATAGAGGTACCCCTAAGGGAGGTGGTTGCTGTGTGCTGAGGAGGAGCAGAGTCCAGAGTGTTTTGTTTACCACTTTGCAATCACCTTGCTCCACTGGAGGAGCAGAGCCATGGCACAGAGTGAGATAAGCTATCACTGCTGCAGCTGGGCTCATCAGAGCCACCTCTGCTACTCCAGGCCTGCAGGTGTGTTTGAGGTCAAGCAGAAGAGAGACTCTTGACATGGAGAGAACTTGGCTTGGCTGCTATCCATGATGGGGAGGGCCCAGCAGAGCTGTTGGCTGTCCTAAGCAAGCTGCTCCTGCCCCAGAGAGCTGGCCTTGCATGCCACAGGAGGGACGCGATGTGCTGGGCTTGTGCCGGATCTACTTGACTAGACTCTGTAAATTATTTTTTATATAACTCTGTTTTCTGGTTGCTTTCAGCACCTTCCAAGTGAAAGCCACAGACATCCATAGTCTGCATGCCTGGCTGCTATGAGTGGGATGAAGGAGTTGGTTCCCCCTACTCCCTGTGAAAAGCTGCCCCTTCCTGCAGCCAAGCTGGTGATGGCAGCGATGCTCTCAGGTCAGACCCCAGGTACTGGCACAGTGAGCAGGCTGTTCCCATTACTGCCACACAAGGAGCCTACCAGCTATCCCACAGCTGGGACAGACCCAGGCAGGGACACGCACAGCCTGGCTTCCCTCGCTCTGGTTGTTTATCCCAGGCTTCACCAGCCACATCCCTGCTCCCCACAGCAGCTGCTGGAATCCCAGCAGCCCAAACGTGCAGTCAATGGCACCAGCTATACCCAGTAGATCAGGAAAAACCCCATCCTCCTTTCTTCTGCAGGGAAATGACTCCTGGGGCCACAGGCAGCTGTCCACCACAGGCAGTGGTGGAGAGCATCCTGCTGGTGTAGGGAGGGGTCCCTGAATCCCCACTGGGAGCTTGGAGGAGCGCAGACCTTGGATGTGGCTCAGGAATACAGTTCCCACGCGTTCAGCCCACGCAGGCAGCACCACACTGCTCCTGCCTGCAGGAAACCTGGGAACGTGGCTGCCCGGGCTGGCTCCCTGCAAGCGGATGTTATTTTAACTCTCAGTTCCTCTCTTATTTTTGCCAGGCAACGACTGGTTCTGTTGTTGGCTAAGACATAAAAAGCCCCTTTTTTTTTTCTCCTCCCCTATTTCTAGGTTATTTTTGGGTTTTTCTCAGTGGGTCTTTTCCACAGGCATTCAAAGGGCTGGAGAAGTTGTCCTGCTTTGCATGCTCAGAGGAAGGGGAGCAATATGCAGGGCAGAAGGGCTTCCCAATCCAGATGGGGATGCACATGCCTTGGAGCACCTGCTGCCCCGTGCTGCACACAGGAGCAAGCTCCTCTTCTCCCACCCACCTGTGCTGTGCAAGACTTGGCCTTCCACAAGGGAGCTGTGATGCCCACATCTTCCTAACTGTGGCAGCAGCAGCCTTCACCTCTGCAGAGCCCAGCCAAGGCAGCTCCTCCGTGTGGTGCCAGCAGGGAGGTTCCTGTGCTGGTCCAGCTACAGCCCTGGGCAAGGTGAGGTGCAAAGGCATAGGGAGGGAAGGGAAGTGGATGGGACAGAACATGAGCTTAGGGTGACCCCAGAGAGGGTCACACATAGCCATGGCAGTACAGGAGCTGCCAGATGGAGCTGACAGAGCTGAAGTCAGCCAGTGTCACATTCAGGCTTGGGATTGAGACCAGGCCCCATGAGGGGGAGAGAAGAATGTGAGGGACACAGTGCCTGCCAGCACTGTGGAGTACCTGTGCCATGGCCAGAATCCCCCCACTGAGAGTACTGATGGGAGTGATGCTGTCCTGTCCCCAAAACAGAGGATATGAGATGGCACATCCCAAACCCCTTGTCATATCAATGTTCAGGAGAAAGAAGTGCTCTTTGGGCAGCAAAGAGGGTTGCAGCAAAGAAACAGCCTGTGTTTTCACCAGGCAGGGACATTCCAGTCTAAGGCTGGGATCCTCTGCATCCCCTCCGCAAAGGCTGTTTTGTCCCTGGGGGCAAAAGTTCTCTCCACTTGTGGCAGGAGGTGTTACTTTGTGTGGCCACATAGCCCTTTGTCTCTGAGAAAATTGCAAAACCCTGAGCTTCGCTGCAGCTCCAAGAAGCTCAGAAAGAGAGAACCTGCTGGAAGGCAGACGCCCACGTCGGCGCTGGGCCAGCCGAACCTTCCAGGCTGTTACGCAGCCCCACAGCTGCTTGGCAAGGACACTGCCGACCCTCCCACATCACAGCCCCAAGCAGCCTGGGCCGGCTGCGGCCAGGCACTGGGCTGGGATTGCTGTTTTTCTGCTTTATCAGGATCTTGCTGAGCTTGGCGGTGAGTGGGTCATGTTTGTGCAGTAGTTTGTGCAGGCTAATGGTTATGTAAGTGCTCGGGGTTAGTCCGGAGGCTCGGCCGGCCGTGCCTCCCCAGCGCATGTGCGCGGCCGCCGGGCCGCACGCCGCCGCGGTGACCGGGGACAGCAGCACACGCGGCCCAAAGCTCCGGGGAGTTTTGACACTGTCCCAGCTCGTTACGAAGGTGCACGGCGTGTGCCTGTGCTGCTGAGATGCCCGGTGCTGTCAGGCTGGATGCCAGGGGGCCGGTGGCCGAGCCATGCACTCGGGCAGCGCTGTGCGAGCGCTGCAGCGGCCGTGTTTACCCTGCACGGCTCCCGACGCCACGCTGCTCCGCTGCCAAAACGCCTGCGCCTGCTCCAGTAACCCAGCTCCTGAAGGTCGCTGGCTGCAGGCCGGGCTGGCGTTCCATCTGCCTGCTTTTATTATTGATTGTCCTTATCTGCGCTCCAGAGAACAGCATGTCCCAAACAGCCGGGGGCAGGATGGGGCTCACTGCCGCTGCTGCTGCCTTTTGCCCAAGCTCTGTCTGTCCCCGCTGGAGAGGTGCAGGCACCAAAAGCTGCACTGCCACTGTCACCTCTGCACACATGCACGAGCCATGATGCCACAAGCTGGGGCCCAGAGACAGCAGCGTTCCTGTGTCTGCTGCCGTATGTCTCTCTTCCTCTTGCCACTGTCTCCATCCCAAGTGCAGGTTCCCACACAGCAGCAGACCCCTGCACGTGCCCGTTCCCAGGATCTGCTCCCAGCAGGACCCTCAGCAAGTGCATCCCATCACTCTGTCGCTGTCTCACAGTGGCCCACAGTGTGGCCCACAGCGCCTTGGGCCAGTACCCGCTGTCCTGGAGGCTGAAGGGACATGGGAAGGGGACCCTGATCAGTCAGAGCAGTGGTGCTGCTCCATCACAGCCCAGCTGGGCTGGGACAGCCACCATGCACAGCACAGGGCAGCAGCCAGATGGGAAATGGAATGAGCAGCCCACCTCTGCTGCTGCTAGCCCAGACAGCAGCAGGATAAGCAAGGAAGCATCAGGGTGACAACAGAGGCATGTCCAGGTGTCAGCAAAAGACAAGAAGAAAGGGAGGAAAGAGAAACGAAGGGAAGGGAAGGGAAGGGAAGGGAAGGGAAGGGAAGGGAAGGGAAGGGAAGGGAAGGGAAGGGAAGGGAAGGGAAGGGAAGGGAAGGGAAGGGAAGGGAAGGGAAGGGAAGGGAAGGGAAGGGAAGGGAAGGGAAGGGAAGGGAAGGGAAGGGAAGGGAAGGGAAGGGAAGGGAAGGGAAGGGAAGGGAAGGGAAGGGAAGGGAAGGGAAGGGAAGGGAAGGGAAGGGAAGGGAAGGGAAGGGAAGGGAAGGGAAGGGAAGGGAAGGGAAGGGAAGGGAAGGGAAGGGAAGGGAAGGGAAGGGAAGGGAAGGGAAGGGAAGGGAAGGATCATCCTAGAGCTCTCATTCCCAACATACCATCCTCACAAGAGACCTGTGACCCCCCATTCTCTGCAGGTGTTGGCTGATGTTTAGCTACCTTGCCATTGATTTCACAGCATTTGCCAGGCTGTGTTGGGGGACAGGGACACATGTGGCATTGCCCAGGTCTGTGCTGCCTGGCACAAGCTTTTCATGCTTCCGTTGAGAGCACAGAAGAAGAGTGGCATGGCAGGGTAGATGAAAGGAGCTGCAGCTCCAGGATACACTGGTCAAATCAAATTGGGTTTTCACATCCTAATTACGAAACATTGGCCAGCACAGGGCCAAGAACACCATACCACAAATCTGCTGGTCTTTGAGGCATTTCCAGCTTGCTAGAAGACACACCTGGGCAGAACTTACTGAGGCAGCTTGGAGGGCCCTGTCAAGGGTTTCTCATTGCCCTCAGGGCATATGGAAAGAGGACCAGAATCACAAGAAGGCAAGTCCTTGGGACAGGGAATGGAGAAGCATATGGCACACCACAGCTTGGCCAATGTGCTTGGAAAGGCACAGAGGCAGTTCATTGCCAGAACAGCCCCATGGTGAAATGGGGTCTCCTTGGGATGGTGGGACCCTAACCCAGCCCTGTAGGGCGCCACCATGCCCCAGGCAACCCAAACACCCCTTGCTTTACCATGTGCCTAAGGACAGCCCTTGCATGGGGGGTTTATTGAGCATGACAAGCCAGCTGGGACACCAGATAACCTTTGCCTGTCTGGGGACAGTCCCTCAGCAGGGTCAGGCACACTGGCCACAGAGGAGTGGAAAATTCCTCTCACTGTGCTGGCGCTCAGTACAGCCTGAGCACATCAGCTGTCATCCTGCAGGACTTGGCATGCCCTGGAGTGTTTATCAACACTGTTTCGCAAGAGCCATGGCATACAGCCTGGCAGAGGCATGCAAGCCACTTGGGCAACCAGCTCTGCTGAAAGCCTGTGCTCTTGGGAAACACTCCAGGCTGGGAGTCTAGTGTGGATTGATGTCATCTGAGTGGCCATCAGCACCTTCTCCTTTCTGGTCTCCTGAGTTCAAGGACGGAGCTGTGAGCTTTGGTCTTGGCCCTCTCTCAGTCCTGTAGAACCCTTCCCTTGGTCTCACCTGGCTGTAGATGACTTCAACCTGCTGGTTCCCCACTCACCCAGGGCATGCTCCTCCATCCTCAGGTCTGTGGCTTAGGCAGAGAGGTACCCCACTCCCTCCAAGTGGTTTGGCGGTATCAGCTGGAGCAACAGAATAATTGTGGTGACAGCACATCTGGCTGAGGGCTGCCCTCCAGGCATAGACCAGTGGCTGCATGGTGCCTAAGGGGTGACACAGCAGGGCCAGCCTGTCCCCAGTTAACTCCAGATATGCACAACTGACACAATTCCCTCAGGCACATCCTGGATGACACTGGCTAAACAGGCAGGGGACATGGAGTTGCAGCCAGGCCCTGGGAGCCCTGCGGGTGCCCCAGACAGGGCTGTCTATGCCCACCCAACTCCATGGTGCTGTACATGTACATCAGTGGGTGCAGCATGTCAGGAAGGCACAGTGTCAGAGTGCTCTGCTCTGTGGCAGGCACTGCAGAGCCCAGGAAATGTCTGAGCTGCTCTTGCAATTTCAAGATGCACCTCAAAGCCCTGCTTTAAGTGGGAAACGGGTGGTGGGTTTGTGAGGTGGGTGTCACACTCTCAGGGTAAAGAAGCAGAGCATGTCCCCACCCAGCCTTTCCAAAGGGACAGCAGCTCCGCTTGGCACCAAGGGGATGCGGGGCACAGCCTTCCCCAGCAGACAGGGTCCCTCCAGTGGAACTGGGGGTGCAGGGACTGGGCCAGATGGGCTGTTCCTGGGCTGGGGACCATCCCAGGAAGGCCATCTGGCTCCTGAAGCATCGCACAGACCCTGCCCCAATTCCAGCCGGAGCAGCAGCAGCAGCAGCAAACAGGCTTCGCGCAGCCGCCAAGATGTTTGCTGGAGCAGAGGCACGCATAAACATTTTGTTTAATCAAGGACTGGGAGTGAACACAGTGTACCCTGGCTCGGTGCAGCGGGAACAGCTGCGGCCCTGCGGGGCAGGGCCAGGGACACGGATCGGCGGTGGCAGAGCGACCTCCCGTGGCACGGTCCCGACCCCCGGGTGCTCGGCAGAAGGAAGGCCCGTGACACCCGTGTCCCCCCTGGCTGCTCCCAGGGCAGTGTGTCTGCGGTGCAGGGCTCTCTTCGGCCCTCCGAGCTGCCCTGCCCGTGGGGAGCTCATGGCAGCGCTGTATCAAGAGAGCCCGAGACCCTGGCAGTGCCAGTGCTCACACAGGTGGGATGGGATTCCTTCCTGCCCTCCTGGGAATGAGGTGTTGGGGCTGGGGACCTCTTGTGCCCTGCCAGGCCCCCTGCTCAGCGAGAGCAAGGCAAGCTCAGAGCTTCTTCTCTGCAAGCCCCGAGTGAGCAGCATGGTGCCCAGCATCTGCTGATGGATCCCGGGCCAGCACGCAAGAAGCCAGCTGATGGAAACGCAGAGCACAGAATCCCTTTGTGGTGGATCTGGCTAAGGGCAGGCTTTGAGGAACTGCCATCACATTCAGGGTTGGTTTTTGTTTTTTTTTTTTTTATTTCTTTTTTTTTTCTGGGATCAGTTAAGAATTAAGCACCTGAGTTGCTGTGTTTAAACCTGAACCTTTAAATATCCTTCCCACTCCCCCCCATCCCAGCATGTGCTACACAAACCCCAGGTGTCTTTGGAAGCATGATTTTAAGGATAAGATTTAAAGGACTCCTTTCACAAAGAATTGTGCTATCATGTTATTTTTCTTCTTTTAATTTCCAAAAAGGTATTTTTTGTGCACTGGGGACTAGATCGAGAAGAGCTTTGGAGAACACTGTGGAGGCAGCCAGACTGTGGTACTGCCAATCAGCGCACACCTCTTCTTCCCACCAGCCTCCCACACAGCTGCCAAGCCTGTTCCATGGCTTCCCAGGCAATTAGTGGTTGCAACACACATCCACACAGCCAGCAGAACCACTCCAGCTTTCCGTGTGTCCTTGATAACCTCTTGCGGTTTTTTAAGCCTTTGGTAGTAAGGAAATGACTGAGGATAATGACAAGCATAAACTCCTGGCATGCAAGACCTGGAAAGATGTTTTTCTTCTAAGCAGCTGGTGTCCCTTGGTGGGACAGGTCTGAATGGGTGAGCTTCACTGTGTATGTCGAGCCCCCATGCTCTTGGCAATCAGACTGTTATTACCTGCTCTCCTAGTGTGCATCCAGGGTGGTGTTTGCTCAGTTGGCTGCTTATGGTAACTGAAAAACAGTCCAAATCACTTTAGCCTTAGGTTTCCAGAGCATACTGCTTCATTTCTAGAGCACCTTGTATCCTATTTTTTCCATTTTTCATGGAAACAAAGCTCCACTGGGTTATCATGAGCTCTGGCAGCCGTTCTTTTTGCTCGGCTCCCAGGAAACTCCTCACCTTGACCTAACGGAGCAGCAGCCCGAGCTGCTATCTGGGACAGCACTGGTGTGCAACGGGAGAGCAGGGACAAGGGGAGCTCACAGAGAGCAATGCAGCAGCTGATCAGTGTGAATTCCAAAGCTCTGTTCTTGAAATATTAAAAGAGAAAATTAAGGAAGACACTTTCCATGGCAAAGAAAATGCCAGAGCTTAGGGAAGTTTTCTGCAGAGCAGCAACAGAAGCAGAGACCCAGGACAGAAATATTTTGGGTTGTACTCCTCTCTGCCAACATTTGGGCAGAATTTGAAGGGTGGAAACCAGCAAATCCACCAAGAGTTTGAGGAAGAAAACTGACAAAATCATTGTTGAGATTAAATTTAGGAGGGTACTTCAGAGTTTTACTCTTTTAGCTCTGGAAGACAGAGGACAGCTGACTGACTCCTGAGCACTGAGGGAGCCCTTATCAGCTTTTTCCTCTCCTCTCCTCTCCTCTCCTCTCCTCTCCTCTCCTCTCCTCTCCTCTCCTCTCCTCTCCTCTCCTCTCCTCTCCTCTCCTCTCCTCTCCTCTCCTCTCCTCTCCTCTCCTCTCCTCTCCTCTCCTCTCCTCTCCTCTCCTCTCCAGCAGGGAGAAAAAGAAGTATCCTTGATAAGACTGTGAAAAAATAACTACTATCAAGATGACTTCGATGTCAGCTTAGGTTTTAGGGGACAGAGGTCGGCCGATGGCCTTCCAGAGCATGTGTGCTGCAGACTGTTCTATAAATGCTGACGTGCTGACTTTGCGGTCATAAAAGATTTTCAAAAGGAATGTATTCCTTTGCAGCCTTGCTTTGTGCTGATAAATCAATTGCCAACTATGTGGAAGGGAAGAGATGCAGTAAGATGCAGTAAGAGATGCAGCATGCTGCTTAAATCCTTGCTTTGAAAGACATTTTTTTCCCCCAGCATTACCATTCCTTTGCCCAAGGGTTGAGGATTATACAGTGCTCTTCCTGTTTCCATAATCAAGCACCTGAACACCTCAGAGAATGTTTAAAAATAAGCGTGATAATAGCTGCATTTTACAAGGGAAAAGCTCAAGAATGGGGCTTGGTGTTTATAATGCAAAAGACTATTATAATTTGATGGCAAACTTAAACTGATAGTTCTTAACTTACATTAGACACCCAATAGAGCATTTGTGTGCACAGTCTGACCCAGAGGGCAAGCTTTTAGATGGGGACGGGCAAGCTGTGGAGGAAAGGGAAGCGTCTCTTTCCCGGTGCAGCGCGGGCCGCTCCGCGGGCAGCTCAGAGGCGCTGCGGTGCGGGGCTCGGTGCGGGGCTCGGTGCGGGGCTCGGCCGCACTGTCCCGGTGGGGCTGTCAGGGCAGTTCCGTGACCCGCACGGGCCGCAGGTCGGCGGTGCCGCTGTCACCCCGGGCCGCCTGCCGTGTGCGTCCCCTTCTACCTGAGGTCACACACCGACCCGCCAGGTTTCATCACAGCAGGGAACAGGAAAGCGGACGCATTGGACATGGCAATAGAAACTGCCATCATCCCTGATATCTCTGCCCGGGCAAAGCTGTCACACGCATTTTACCATCAAAATGTGCCTGCCTTTATCAGAATGTTTATGCTTTCAAAAGATCAAGAAAAAGCTATTGCCGCCAAAAACTGTCAAAATTACCGGATACCATCTATGGGGACAGGAGTCAATCCGCGAGGACTGAACAGCTGACAGCTGCCCCGCTTCTCCGGGGGGGGGGCGGTGCGGGGCGGTGCGGCCCGTGGGCAGGCGGCACCGGGATGGGCACCGGGACGGGCACCGGGACGGGCACCAGCACAGGCCGCGGCGGGGCGGTCGCCATGGCAACACGGGGCGGGGTGGTCACCATGGCGTCAGTTCCGGGCGGGGCGGGGCGGGGCGGGGCCGGGCCGGCATGGCGCTGTCGCGCGCGGAGCGGTGCCTGGCGCTGCTGCTGCGGCTGCTGTCGCGCGCCTGCCTCGCGCTGCTGGCGCTGCTCCCGCCGCCCGCCGGTGCCGCCGGTCCCGCGCGCGCCGTCCCGCCGCCGCGCCGCGCGCTCCTGCTGCTGCCCGCGCGGCGCCTCGCGCAGCTGCTCCGCGCGCGGCAGGTACCACCCGGGCACCGCGGAGGGGGGGGGCAGCGCGGGTCGTGGGTCCCGGGCTGAGCCGCGCCTGACGGCGGGACCCGCTGTGCCCCCCCGCGCAGGTGGCGTGCGTGGAGGTGGTGGAGGCGTACGTGGAGAGGATCAAGGAGGTGAATCCCCTCATCAATGCCGTGGTGAAGGACAGGTGAGCTGCTCGGGGACAGAGCGGCTCCCCGCCTGCCTGCCTGCCTCCGGGCCCCGCTGCACCGCGCCGCCACCGGCGGAGAGCAGGCAGTCTCACTTCCCCCACTTTCCCCACTTCTCCTGCCCACCCGTCCCGCGGGGAGCCGCTCCTCGCTGATGCAGCCAGAGCATCGCCGGGTGCTTTGCTGCAGGTTCGAGGAGGCCCTGCAGGAAGCCCGGCAGGTCGATAAGCTGCTTTCCGAGGCTCCAGCCGATGACTGCCTGGAGGAGAAGTTCCCCTTGTTGGGAGTTCCCGTCACCGTTAAGGAGGCCTTTTCTCTCTATGGTGGGTTTATCTTTGTGTCTCTGCAGGTCTTGACGTGCTCCCCACAGTGGTGGGTGGCTGTGGCAGGTGCTTGGAGGGTAGTCTCCCTTTCCCTGGTTTGCAGCAAGCTCTGCCTGAGCTTCTGCGTTTGTGTTCATTTGTAGCACACATGTGCTACAGAGCCTGTGGTGCCTCGGGGGAGCAGCCCTCACTGGGAACCTGCTTCTCACAGCACTGGGTCGTCTCGGGGCACTGGCCCTGATGCCTCCCTCTTGTTGACCTTGGCACCACAGGGATGCCCAACACCTCTGGCTTGGTCAACCGCCGCAACGTGGTCGCCACTTCAGATGCCACCGTGGTGTCACGGCTGAAGCAGGCAGGTGCCATCCCGCTGGGTGTCACCAACTGCAGCGAGCTCTGCATGTGGTACGAGTCCAGCAACAAGGTCTACGGGCGGACCAACAACCCCTACGACCTGCAGAGGATTGTGGGCGGCAGCTCAGGTGAACACCAGCACCTCGGCATGGTCCTGCACGAGTGGCAGGTTAAAATGCAGCGAGGGGAGTTCCAAGTCTTTGCACACAGCTATTAACGTGTTCCTGGGCTCTTGCAGAGCCTGTGGGCCTCTTTCCTGGGCACTGCTGTAGGCTGTTGGGAGGTCTAGCTGCTTTGCCTCTTCTGTGTGATTCATCTGGCATTGCTTCATTTTGCTCTGTTGTACTTCAGCAGGAAAATCCCTTTGGCCTGCATTCCTCAGCTATTCCCCACTCATCACTAAAGCCAAGGTGCTCCCCACCTCTCTTGCTTTTTAGGCCCCCACCCTCCCTGTGAGGTGTTCTTGCTTTCCTGGATGATTTGCACCATAAGTCTGTGGGGTTTTGCCATGTTTTCTCCTGTGCAGGTGGGGAGGGCAGTGTCCTGGCAGCTGCCTGCTCAGTCATAGGTGTGGGCTCTGACATCGGTGGCAGCATCCGTATGCCTGCCTTCTTCAATGGAGTCTTTGGCCATAAACCCACAACAGGTAAGGGGGGTGTTGGGGCTCTTCCTCTTCCTCACATCAGAGATGCCATGAGGTGGAATGGGGGCTGTGGGATGAGCCCCTTCAGGACACCCCTATGCTGTTCACTGGTGGGATTGCTGTAAGGAGTCAGGTAACCTCTTGCTGGGACAAGCCTGTTGAGGGAGCACGGCTGGGGTTGGCAGTTGGGAAGCCTTTGGTGGCAGAACACCAGGCACGTGGGAGACGGGCAGGGGTTTACCCAAGTACTGCCTCCTCAGCCTGGGATGTTTTCACAAGGTTGGGATCTGCTGGATGTTTCTCTGCCTTTCAGTGTCCTGACTGGGTGATTTTCCTGCCATCCCCACCCCATGCACTTTGCCATCAGCGCTTGTGGGGTGTGCAGTCCCTGGGGAACCATATTTCCCTGCACCCAGAGACGCCCCAGCAGGGCTGTCCCTGTCTGCAGGTGACACTCGGGGTGGTGTCTGACTTCTGTGCCCTCAGGGGTGGTGCCCAACGACGGCCAGTTCCCAAACGCTCAGGGGGTGCGGACCAGCTACCTGTGCACGGGGCCCATGTGCCGCTACGCAGAGGACCTGGAGCCTGTGCTGAGAATCATGGCCGGTCCTGGCGTCAGCAAGTGAGTTTTCCCACTGCTCCAAGCTGCTGAGCTGGAGTCGGCAGCTCTCTGCTCCTCACAATGTATTAGTCCTTTGTATGAGACAGGTCTGCACCCCACTCAGTTTGCCTGTTACTGATTTCCTTCCTCTGCTGCTGGCTTCAGCAGGACCTTGGCTGCTGGGACTGCCTTTCCCACCACCCACGTGCTCCCAGGAACTGGCAGCCATGGGCAGACTGATATCTCCCCCTTCAACAGTGAGCTGCTTCCCAGCTCTGTCCCACACAGAGGGGCTGGCCTTGCTCCTGGGTGTTACAGTGCCTTTCTTTCTGTTGTTGAATGAGTTTTCCATCCCACACCATGGCCAGTTCAGTTCCTTCAGTTCTTGGTCTGTGCAATCAAGTGCAAGCACGCTGTGTGCCAGTGAGGGGTAGAGCACAGATGGGGCACATGGGGCAGCCCTCCCTTCTGCCACAGCCTGCACACAGTTGCTCTCTCTATTACCACTTAGTTTTTCCCCGGGCTCTTGCGCAGTCCCAGCCTTGCCTGCAGCCAGGGTTTGTAATCACAAGGTGCTTCTGGAGAAATGAGAACTTTCCCAACAGAAACTTGATGGGACTGAGGGGGCAGGTGAGCAGCTGAATGTGTTTTGGGCAGTAGGTATCTGTGTCTTCCGGGTCTCACCTTGCCACTCTGGGGGACAGACCCGGGTCTCTTGAGGGCGCATAACAAGTGTGTGAGAACCTCTAGCAGCTGCAGAGAAGCTGGGGACGGATTTGTGAGAAAGCACCATTCCTTTTCCAGGCTGAAACTGAATGAGAAAGTGTCGCTGGAGAAAATCAAATTCCACTGCATGGATCATGACGGCGGGTCCATTTTTGTATCACCTGTGGACAAGGAGATCTTGCAGGTCCAAAAGAAGGTAGGAAGCAGAAGAGGATGGTACTCACCGGTGTGAGCCTGAAGATAGAACCTGGGAGGCCACTCAAAGGAGGCCTGGGGAGGGGAAAGAGCTGCTTTGTGTGTGGCTCCTGCAGGAGCTGGTGGAATCAAGGGCTGGGGAGGCAACCTTGCATCCCAGTCCTGTGCTTTCAGCGGTCAAAAAGTAGAAAGAACTTCTTCAGAGGTGAAGAAGACACAAGGGGAAGATCTTGCGAGTAGGTCCCCTTACTCTTCTCTGTAATTTCCACTGGCTGATGGCAGTGCATCAAATCTTTGTGGAAACAAGCCCATCCTTGTTCTTCCCTTCAGGTGGTGGAGCACCTCGAAAGTGACCTCGGGGTCCAGGTTCAGCATGTGACAATCCACAAGATGAAGTATTCTTTCCAGATCTGGTCAGCCATGATGTCATCCAAGGACAGTGACGGGCAGGTGTGTCAGAATGAGTTGACAAAGGCACAACTTTGGAGGCATCAGGGAAGAAACAGCTGTTTGGGGCCAGCTGTGGAGAGCTGTAGGCTTTCCAAACCTACCCGGGGGCTTTCCCTGTTCCATGTACCCCCCCAATCCTCCTTTCATTTCTTCCTAAAGTTGCACAGCTCCTTTTCCCTTGCTGTCCTGTGGGTTGAGGCCCTGGCTCTCAGCAGAGGAGCAATGTGGTAATAGGGAGCGGGGAGGTTGTTCTGGCACATTGACCTTTTCCATGCAGGTTGGTAAGTCAGCGAAGCAGGGGGCATCCTGCCTTGCTCTTTGCCCCATGCTGTGTCTTCTGACTTGTAGGCTGGGATTAACACCCTTTGGCATGCCAGGACAGGCAGGGGTCTAGCAGCTTTCCAGCAGGAGGCCTGCTTGTGTTATTTTTCCCTGGAATTGCAGCTGCTGTGCTATGCTCTGTGCATGCAGGAAAGTACTTGGTAATAAAATAAACTTGTGGGAGTGTCGTAACTTGTGCATTCCTGGCACACAGGCAGTGATGAAGCAGTCCAGCCCCACTACACCAAGGAGGTCTTGTCTGGCTCCTCTGCTTCCTTCTTCCAGATCCCATTGTTGTATCACAGGAGGAAATGCTTCTGGGACATTACACCTTGCATTGTGTTAGTTGGGTGCTGCTTTGGCTGGGCTCTCCCTTCTTGCTGTCTCTAGCAGGGAAAAATGCTCCTGTTGCTGCCCTGGATCACTGTCAGAGCTGTGGAGCTCCTGGTGGACATCTCCTGTGTGACAGTGGGAATAGCTCTCATTGGGATAATGGGATAACCGGAATTTCACTGTCCAGTGCCAGCCTGTGCCTTCCTGCTGCATGCTGGCTGTGCTGACGGGGGGAGTGGGTGTGTTACAGGAGGCACAGAGATTCACGGACCTGCTGGGGGACCACGGGAAGCCAGTGTGGCCGCTGTGGGAGCTGATGAAGTGGCTCGTGGGGATGTCTTCTCACACTCTCCCAGCTATTGGTAATGCTGGCAGGGACCCTGGGAAGTGCAGAGGCGGTGGTGGGGTGGGCAGGTTGTTAAATGCAGGTATTACCCTTCCAATGCCCAGTGAAAGAACTCAGGGCTTGCCCTGAGCAGCTTCAGCCTAGTTTTGTAATGACACTCCCTGTCTTAGAGTTGCATGCAAGCTCAAGAGTGTGGATCTTTGATAAATGGGAGTGGGTACCTTGGGGGAAGAAGTGTGGATGATGAAACTGGGGGCAGAGTTCACTTCTGCTGCTGTGAGCCACATCAGAACTGCTAGGGGCTCAGAGGGCTCAGTGACAGTCTGCACTGGTCTTGTTTCATAGCAGCAGGTACGAGAGAACCCTAATTAGTGCAGTTGTGCTGCTGTCTAATGAGTGCTGGGGTCATTCTGCCAGCTCTGCTCAATCCCACTAGCTGGAAAAGCTGGAAGGAAGAGGCAATCTGCTGTGGCTACTGGCAAGAAGGGATACTGGGGGGCCACCCCAGAAGCAGAGGATGTTGCATGTGGCTGGGCATTGTGTTTCTGCCCCACACAGCCCACAGTCCTCTCATATGCTCTTGTCCCCATTTCTGCCTTTTGCTGCAGCCCTGGGACTGACAGAGAAGCTGGTGAACCTCAACGTCAGTGGGAAGGCCAAGCTGGTGAGCATGGGGAGAAGCCTACAGGAGGAGATGGAAGCACTGCTGGGGCCAGATGGAGTGCTCCTCTACCCCTCACACCCCACCATCGCCCCCAAGCACCACTCTCCTATCTGCATGCCCTTCAATTTTGCCTACACAGGTTAGCAGCCCTGTGGGGGTTGCAGGTAGGGCTACTAAGATGGTCTCCCCGTGGCAGCAGTGTGGGCTGGCACCTGGGGTGTTGTACCCAGTGTTTGCATTGCTGGCGGTGGGCTGTGCAGCACAGAGGTGTCTTGTTGCTCCAGATGGTGGAGTGAGGGTTGGCGTTCTTCATACTGTGTGGCGTCTTTTACCTTTTGCCAAAGGTGCCTGTCCACAGCAGGGCAGGTCTGACTTGTGTGTGATATTGGGGTTTAGCAGGAACCCAAGACCCACCGTCCCTTGGGTACAGCCTGGGGCTCCCTGTGTGCTTCCCATGTGGTCTGAACACCTCAGTGCCAGTGTCAGTGCTGCCTTGCTCTCTGGAGTGATGGCGGGCTGGTGCCTGGGGCAGGAATGTGCCAAATTTGGCATGCCACAGTGTGTGTGCCATCACTCATGGATACTGTTTATACACATGATGTGTGCACTGGGAATCTCTGGCCAGTGATGTCCCTTGTCACCATTTCTCTGCAGTGCTGCATGAAGCACCAGCTCCCGGGATCTTGGTGCTGTGTATGGCAGAGCTGTCTGCCCAGGGTGGGAGAGCCAGGCAGTGATGTATCCCAGTCACTGAGCTCCCTTTAATCCATCCAACCTTCTCTCTTGCAGCCATCTTCAACGTGCTGGGCCTGCCGGTGACGCAGTGCCCGCTGGGGCTGGGCAGCGAGGGGCTGCCGCTGGGCATCCAGCTGGTGGCAGCCGCCTACAATGACCACTTGACGCTGGCAGTGGCCCGGTACCTGGAGAAAGCCTTTGGAGGATGGGTTGTACCGGGGGAGGTTTAACCTTGGGAGCAGGGACAGAGGCAGTGACAAGTGCTGATGCTTGATCCCATCTCTCGGCACTGTCTGCTCCCTCTGCATCGCCCTGTGCCCTGCTGGGAGTGGCTGATGGTGCCTCCAGCCCAGGAACAGCTGGACCATTGCCCCTGGAGTCCTCATCCCTGTGGCACCCTCTGTCAGGGAGAGACCTGCCTTTCCCAAACCCCTCAGGAGCCCCAGTGCCACAGTCTGAGGATGCCCTGCCTGCATCCTGCCTGCATCCCACCCACCTTTTCCAGACCGTGGAGTTGGCCAGCTCTGTAACCCTTCTGCTTTCAAAGCACTGAGAACTGAGCAGAGGACATGTTCCAGATTGCTGGGGGCAGCTGTGCAGCACCCCTCAGGGCTCCCTGGGCCTAGGGGGTCCTGCTTGGCCCGACCCTACCCACAGGGCCGGACTGTGCCTGCTGCACCCAAACTTTCCAGCCTCCACAGTCCTCCTAAGCTCCTGCGGGCTTCCCCCACCCTCTGACCAGAAGGGAGAGGGGGCTGGGGGAGCCATAGGCCTGCCTCAGCAACACCACAGGTGTGGTGAGTGCTGGGCTCTGTGGTGTGAGCAGCTGTCAAGCACAGCTGGGAGCATTTTAGCAGTGGCTAAAGCGTCTCCTGTTTGTGTTTTCCCCTTCTCTCTGGGGGGATTATCCTGCCTGACTGGTATCCTTTGCTGCCTGTCCTGCTGAGCTGCCTGGCCTCTGCCCCAGGAGCAGACGTGGGCAGCAATGTGAATGGTTCATCTGAACAGGCAGCAAGCACAAGGTGTTTTCATTGAGGAAGGTATTAAAGAGTTTGTCCAGTGTACTGTCGTTGTGTCCTTTTCTTCATGGCTGTCTCCCTTCCAGCTCCTGCCAGGCCCCAGCCCCATCTCTACCAGGGGTGTGTCAGGGCTGCCCAGCACTGCTGGCCCTTGGAGTGCTGGAGGGGACAGCAGTGGAGATGTTGGCATTGGCACGTGGCCGCTGGGCTCTTGTTTTGGAATGCCCAGGCCAGCAGTGACTGCTGGGCTCTGGGCAGAGCTGAATGGTGCTTGTGAGCCCCACAGTGCCGCTGCCAATGGCTCTGTTAGCCTTGCAATGGTTGCACAGTTCTTGGGAAGCACAAATCCAGCTGTGTTTTGTCCCAGTGGGCTGCCAGGAGCTCTTGAGGTGGTGCAGAGCCACGTGCAAGTCTTCTCGTGGTCTCCAGGGCTCAATGAAGGGCCCCAGCCCTGTGTGCCCAGCCTGCAGCATTGGTCTTGGCAAGGCTAAAACCTGCTGCTGGTTTTGCTGGGATGTCCTGGCCTGTGTCTGCCCTGCCGTGTGTCACCCCTGGCTCCTTTCTGTCCCCTGCACATGTAGCACAGGGTGCTGGGATGATGTGCTGGGCCCGGCTGTGCCTCAGCTCTGGTGTGCAGAGGGCACTGCTGAGCACCCGTGCCCAGCTGGCACGCTGGTAACGAGGAAGCGAGGCAGGAAAAACAGCAAACCCCGGCTCAGCAAAGGAGGTGAAAACCACCCAAGTCAAATCACATCTCCCAGCGTGGTGGCACAGACAACACAGACTGTCCCCCATCTGGAGGAAGCCTGGCAGCTGAGCAGACCGTGGTGACGCTTCCAATGAACTCTCGGAGCCAAACGTGAGGTTGCTGAGCTGAGGGTTGTGCTTAAGTGTGGCTGGTGAGGTGGGTTCCTGGTGCGGCAGGAGGGAAGAGAGGAAATGCTGGATCCAAGCTGGGGGGGAGTGCTGGTGCTTCAGGGTAGTGTCATGGGGATGCAGACAAAGGAGACGATGTGCAGAGCAGAGGGGGTTAATCCCCAGTCTCAGTTAGTGCCACAACAAGGGGAGAGTTGCTGGGATTTTTCCTCTGGCCGAAGGAAAGGGGAACGGATGTGCTGGGGTTCAGAGGGGGGCTGGCAGGGACTGGCCTGCAGGCACCCTCGCTGCTTCAGGGAAGCATTGCCTCCCTTGTGCTGCCTTCTGCAGTGAGAGCAGCCCTGTCCCTGCCTGCACAGGCACCCGGTCCTGGGGTCTCCAGCAATTCCCCAGCTCTGTGCCTCTGTAAGCTCCAGGAACAACCCTGGAGGCTCTTTCTCCCTCCAGGCAGAAATGCTGCCTCCTTCAATGGGCTCTGTTGCAAAGCAAGAGGGTCCTTGCTGGTCTCGGGGTGAATGCCTGTGCTTCGGCTCTGGTGTTTCAGAGGTCTCACCTCAGCCCTTGCCCACAGCTTGCAGCTACACGTCCCTGCTTGTTGACTGTTCCTGCTCGTTCCAAGCTCTTAATGCTGCAAGGGACAGAGAAGACATGGGGGGCAGTGTTTTGTATCCATATGCTGAGGTGGTTGCGCTTGTAACAGTGCAAAGAAATGGGAAGAGTGAGAAGCAGTGACAGTGGTGAGCCAGCGCCACCGGTGTCCCATATGGTCAGGGGTGCTCCCACGCCTCTGCCTCGGGAGGTGGCCCTGGGCTCCCCACCTTCGCAGGGGAATGTGTCCCCACTACCACAAGGTTGGTGTTGGTAGCCTCAAAGCCCTTGCATGTCTGCTCCAGGAGAGGAAGGTTCCTCCGCCACCGGCAAGAGCAGGGAAAGATTCCTGGTGGCTGAACAGTGGGGCAAGGCCAAGGTAAGAAGGGACTGGCCAGGTGTCAGGAGCAGGCGCCCAGCGGGATCAGCCGCTGCTGTGGCTCAGTCTGAGGTCTCTGCTTACAGCCCAGAAGGGTCCCTCACTGTGCCCCACTTTGCCTTGGGGTGCCCTCCCGTACCAGGGAGGCTGTGAGACGGCTGGGGCTGCCCTGGCAGTGGTGTCACAGGTTGTGCCAGTGTGAGTCATGCCCGGAGCTGGCTGAGTCACCTCCCCCGTGGTGGGAGCTTTCTCAAGTGAGGAGCTTTCTCAGACTCACATCGTGGTGCCAAAGGCAGTGTGGCTCCTCACCACGGGGTGCCAGAGGTGGGTGTAACAGAAGGTTGCTGCAGCAAGTGCATAGTGCCAGAGCAGTGTGGCAGCTGCCCACTGTCCCTGGGGGTTCACTTACCACCACAGCCCTGAGAGTACCTGCCCTGCTGCACCCCCAGGGTGCAGCAGAAGGTCCCCTGCCCCTCCGCAGTGGTCACCTCTGTGCTACAATAGGCATGTGGACTCCATGGGGCAGTGTCACTGGCTGAAGCTTCTGTTTTTAATCCCAGGTCCCAGCAGCCCGTCATGTCTGTGGGTAGCAGAACAGCTCCAGCACACCCGTCCCTTTCCATGGCCCCCGGCGTGGCAGCGCAGTGCGGGGAGATGGACGGGCTGTGGTAGGATGAGCCCTGCCCCGCTCCTGCTGCTCTCCCTGGCCAGCTGCTCCCTGCTCCAGGGTAAGCCAGTGCTGAAGCTGTCACCACAGTCTCGGGGGGCCCTGACTGCAGGGCAGGAGGAGGCACAGGGACACCTCTCAGACGTACTGAAGGTACCTGTGAAGAGGAGAGGCCCAAGTGGTCATCAAGGTATGAAGAGAATGAAAGCCCCAGGGTCAGCAGCAGCTGTGTCAGGGTGCTGTCTCTCCTGTTTTGTCAGCTGTGTTTCTGCTTTGGCAGCAGCGTGGAGAGGGTGTTCTCAGTGTGTGATGAATTGGGGGGATCCAGCTGCTGAGCAGCTGCTTTGAAGTCAGTGTTTGCCCATGCTGGGCTGAAGCTGGGGAACCTGTGCCCCGGCCACAAGGGCACCCTGCAGGACACTGCCTCACACCCTCTGCTCCCTCCCCAGGGATGCTACTGAGGCCACAGCGCGTGAGGCTGGAGGCACAGAACTTCCACGTCCGGCTGCACTGGGAGCCAGACCCCAGCTTACCCAGCTCTGCCACCTACGAGGTGGAGTGGAGGAACAGGTAGGTGGGGAGGAGGGGGTGAAGGGCTCTGGTCTTCTTACACCCTGGCAGAGGCTGTTGGGGACCCCTGGCAGCCAGAGGACGTTGTCTGGCAGTAAATGCCACAGAGTAACACAGCAGTGGAGCTGGCAGGGACTGGCTTGTCCTACCCCCTGCACATGCAACGTCAGCCCAGGACTGTGTCCTGGTGGGTTTTTAACAACTTCAGGACAGCATCACTGGACAGCTTGGTCCCTTTCCTGGTCACTCTCCAGTAACAAACTAAGGGGTTGCTTTTGGCCTGGGGTTTTGAATTTGTTGGGGTTTTTTTTTTCCCCATTATGCTAAATAGTATTTCCTGTATTTCAACTTGTGTCCGCTGCCTCTTGTCCTTTTGCTGGGCACCACTGAGAGGAAGACTCTATCTGCTCCTTGTATTGATAATACCCCACCCCCCCACGCTGTCACCTTTCTCTGAGGCTCAAGCTGTCACCACTCGCTCAGTTTCCCTCGTACCGCAGAGCCTCAACAGCCTCAACTCCTTGGGGGGCTCTCCCTCCACGGCTGTGTGTCTTCTCATTGTGGAGAGCACAGGTCAGGGCGCAGTGCCAGATGCCATCTGTCCCCAGGAGGGAGTCAGCCTGCCGGTGACCCCCCTCCTCACACATCCCGGGATGCTGTTGGTTGATAGCCGGGCTTTCCTCCGCTCCCCACCTGGGCAGGATGGCGGTGGCTGGGAGGAAAAGAAGCAATCCCTGTGCTTTCTCCCTGCGCAGAACCTCGAACTGGACCAAGGCAGGTGCCTGTGGGGAGAACAGCAGAAACTCCTGGGGGTGTGAGCTGCATTTTGACAGGATTCATGATATCTACTGGGCACGGGTGAGAGTGGTGGCCGGAGGTGAGCAGTCCGAGTGGGCCAGTTCCAGCGAGCTGCAGCTGTACAGAGACAGTAAGGACTGGGGAGCTCCTCCAGCTGGGCTCTTCCTGGGGGGCTGATGGGGAGAGGGAACCTTGGAGAGATCTGATGGGATACAGCAGGAAAGCAGACTAGAATACTGGAGGCAAAAGTGTCAAGAGCCCTTAGCAGAGGAAAGGGATGAGGCAGGGCTGCAGGAGGAGGGCTGGGTGAAGAGCAAAAGGACAGAGGAGACACAGTGAGGTGATTGGTAGGATGCCAGGCCAGCAAGGCACCGTGAGAATTTGGGTCTCTGGGAAATGCATCGGGATGGGCAGGAAAGAGGATATGCCTCCAGGCTTGGCTTTTGAAAGCCTCACCTTCCTCCCCTGTCATGGTCTGGGATCAAGCTGGCACAGAGACAGACTCTCTGGTGATTCATTGTGTTTGCCAGGTGTGGGAATGTGCCTCTTCTCAGTCACGGACTGTCTGTTCTGGCCAAAAATCCTAGCAGTCTCTTGGAGCTAGAAAATCTTCAGGAGCTGGTTTCAGAGCACAAAGTGCCATCAGGCAAAACCCAAGGAGCTTCTGTGCTCTGAGAGGGGAATGTCAGACAGAAAAATATAATTTCTAGAGAAACAAGATGTCTGCCTTCCTTTGAAGGCCTTAATTTTCAATTTTTTTCCCCTTCCCTACAGCAATTGTTGGCCCCCCCAAATTGTCCTTGCTGCTCCAGGACCAAATTCTCAGCGTAAACATCACCACACCACTCACTCCCTACAAGAGAAGGACTGGCTCCTACAAGCGAGTCAACCAAGTGCTGCTGAAGCTGGGGTACTGGCTGCACCTCTACGAGGGGGAGCTGCTTGTCCAGCAGGTGTGTGGGGTGCTGGGCTGGGCCAAGAGGTGCAGGGCTTGCACAAGTTTTCCTGGTGCAGCACAGCCACCATCGCAGGTTGCAGTGGTGCGGGTGCCCGTGCTGCAGCCCTGGCTGTGCATGCAGGTGTGAGGTGGTGCGGGGTTGCAGTGGTGTGGGGTGCCCGTGCTGCAGCCCTGGCTGTGCATGCAGGTGTGAGGTGGTGCAGGGTTGCAGGTTGCAGTGGTGCGGGTGCCCATGCTGCAGCCCTGGCTGTGCATGCAGGTGTGAGGTGCTCTGCACCCCCAGTCTGGGGCTCCCACCTCAGCGAGGCAGTAGATCACTTCCCTCCCCTGGGCAAAAAGAGCTGGGCTGGTTCTGTTCAGAGGAAAGGTGATGCCACAGGTGTTTCAGGAGATGCTCTGGGACTTGAACACCTCCTGGGACAAAGAACTGAGGGTTGGAGGTGCCCAGGAGGAGGGACCATGGGGCAAGTGGGATGTTGAGGCTGCACAGAGCAGCGGAGCCATGCAAAAACCCCACCTCTGGGTTCTGTGGCACCTGTCCCATCTGCTTTCAGGTGCCCTGCAGGCAGAGGAGTAAAGAAGTGCCCTGCAGCTTTGAGCACCTGAAGGCCAGCACACAGTACTGTGTGCGGACAGCGGCTGTGGGCATTGCCCGGGAGCGGAGCCGGGAGGCGGAGCAGTGCCTGCTGACCCCTGCAGCCCCTTCAGGTGGGAGCACTCTCACCAACTCAGCTGGCACAATTGCATCTCAGGTCCTGCTCACAGCACAAACTCGTGTGGAGGTGTGAATACCTCACCCCCAGCCACTGTGGTCAGGGTTGTGGCCCAGTGCTGCCCAGTGGGGACCTCTCATGGTGATGCTTTCTTGTCATCTGCCTTGGGCTTGCCTCCTGAAACATCCCAGCGTGGCATGGATGGGAAACACTGATAGAGGGTGGGGTGGGAGGGATGTGCTTGAGTGACCCCTCAGCCTGCTGTGACGTCCTGGCAGGTTTTCCCTGGCTCCCTGCTGCGCTGAGTGCCTTCTTCCTGCTGCTGCTACTAAGTGTGGCCGGGTTCTGCATCATGTGGCTGCACGTCTTTCCCAATTCTCCACAGACGTGCCTCCCAAAAGCACTGGTGAGTGATGATCCTCCTCCAGCCTCCACCTTGTGTGTAGCCATAGCCAAGCCAGGGTCCAATTCTCCTCCAACTCTCACATCACCAAGCCCATTTTGGTACCCAGGTGCCCCCCCTGCCATCTGGACCACTGTTCCCCAAGAGGAAGGCACTGGTGGAGGGCATTGGCCAGCCCTGGGTCGCAGCAGAGGATGGGGTCTCAGGCAATGCAGCCCTTGGTGTTCAGCACAGTTTGCCACAATCCCCTAGCTGGCAGGGCTTTGGCCAGCCGAGGCTGACCCTGTCACTGCTTTTGTCTTTGCAGGCTCTCCAGAACATGAGTGTGACCATGCAGCTGCCTCCACTCCAGCTTGAGGAGGACCCCCTGGCCCAGCTCCTGCAGACTGCACTCCCCTCCCACGGGCCACCCACAGCACCAGCCATGGTCCCACGGCTCCTCCGAGGCCTTGCCCAGGGTGTGAGTGACTACTGTGCCAATGGCTTCAGCCCAAACTGCACTGAGGGAAGGGAGACATCCTGCACCCACAGTCAGCTGGGACCTGCTGTAGCTTCCCAGCTCCCCTCCCAGCTGGAGGAGGATGAGGAGGCAGGTGATGGGGATGATTTGCCAGAGCAGCTGGTGCTAGTGGGACTGGCTGGACACAGCTACAGAGGTGACAGGGACAGGCAGATACCTGAGCTACGGCAGCCCCTGCACCTCCAGCTTTATTCTAAATGCCAGTGCCCAGTCCTGGGAGCAGGCAGCCACCTTCCTCTGCCCGTGCCAAGCAGAAGCTGCAGGCAGGAGTACCTGCAGGAGAGTCTCGGCACGGCTGGGCACTGGATCCGGCTCAGCTCCGTGAAGCTCCTGGCTGGTGTGGAGGCAGAGGGAGGGCAGCACCTCTGTGCTCCCCAAACCCTGCGTGGTGACAGGACTGAGCCAGAACAAGGTGACAGCACCGCTCAGCGAGGCTGCTCGGAGCGGGCAGAACCAGAACCGTGCCCCTCCTGCCCCGGCCAGCTGCCCCCCTCACCCCTGCGGCCAGTGGCCTCCTCTGGCTACGAGCCCCGTGCCCCCATCGGGCAGTGAGCCTCAGCCAGCGGGGCTCCCCACAGCCTCCAGCTCCAGCAGAGCCCTCCCCGGCCTCCCTGGCCCTGAGGCTGCGTGTCCCAGCCTGCTGCTGCTGGGGATGGCACTGGGGCAGCTCCCAGGGCAGGCAGAGTCGTATTCCAAGGATCTGCCAAGGATGGGCAGGATCCAGATCTTTCCTCTGAACTTTGGTGCTCTTGAGACACAGCATAAGGAGATAAGGAGTATGAACCAACGCTGAGCCCTCAAAACTCTTATCTAGAGATGTGTCTGTATGGTACAGTAGTTATACTAATGTTTATACATACATATTTATAAAACTCTTTAATGAAAAAATGTTGAGGTTTTAACTTCTGTGGAAATGTTGATTCTGTGCTGGAGTTTTTTTTAAATATCACTAATTTATTCTAGAAAACTGGCTTCTCTATTCATTGTTTCTGTGTTACAGACCCAGCACGGCCCTTCCCTGTGCAGCAGTCAGGAAAGGCACAGGGTAAACTTGGAGTTTTCCAGGCAGAAAATTGCACCCACAATCTCTGTCTTGCTATCCTGCAGGAAAAAACTGTTTTTTAGCACCATGAGATGCATTTATTTTTCCTGCTGCCAGCACTGGGGTGCTTTACAGCTGAGAAGCCCTGCCCTGCAGTTGTCCCTCGGGATGTGTTTTGAGGCTGTGCCTGAAGCCACAGAGGTGAGGGGAAACCTCCTTGTGCTGTGTCGCAGGCTGGGATCAGTGGAGTCAAAATGCAGTGACAAATCCAAGCTCTTGGACTCACAAAAATTACTCTGGATCTGGGAGCAGGTGACAAACTGGTGTCTAGTGTCCATGCAGCTGGTGGAGGGGATGGGGTACAGTGCTGCCAGGCCTGGGGAGCCTTTGGGGCTGTGCAGGGCCATGTTCCAGCCCTGTGAGTCACTCCTGATGCCTCAGCCATGTCCCATCCCTGCCTCATACTGCAGGGATGGAACTTGTCCTGACCCCTGTAGCCCACAGGGGTCCATGAGGGAGCAGAGATCCACCTGCAGTTTAGGGAGGAGCCCAGACCAGATGCCCAAAGGAGGCCATGGCTCTAGGGGAAGATCATGACTGGAGCAAGCTCCTGGCACCTGTGGCCCCATGGAGAGAGGAGCCCAAGCTGACACAGGTTTGCTAAAAGGGACTGGGACCTTGTAGGGAGAGTGATAGAGCAGCTCTGGGGTGTGTTTGGCATCTGACCCAGGTCAATCTCTCACAGTCAATGTGAGGACGTGTCATATATTGAAGAAATGGATCTGAATTAGCGCACACAAAAAAAATAATAAAAAAAAGAGACAGTCCCAAGAGCTGCTTGAGGAACAACTGTGTTACCCATATGCTTTTTTATACCTATGAAGTTGGTGTCCAGTTGCCATCTCCTTTGTCCCTCCCTGCAGCCCTTTTTGATCAATTCCCTCATCCCCAGAGCCCACAGGGCCTCCAAACCCCACATGTCTCTGGCAGGTCACTGCACGGTCCCAGGCAAGGCACCTCTTAGCAGGAGCATCAGTCAGAGCTGCTGTTTGTGCCACAGGCTCTGGGCAGGAGCCACATCCCAGCAGGAGCTTGTCCAGGCCCAGCAGAGCATCCATCGTGTTGCTCCAGGCCAGTCCTGGGTGTTTGGCAGGACACTGGGCCAGTGCAATGGGACCAGACTGGCTCCCACTGCTGCTGTGCTGCTGTGCTGCTGTGCTGCTGTGCTGCTGTGCTGCGGGAGCTGGGCTGCACTGGAGCACGGCCAGTGCTCTGTCACAGCTGGCTGCAGGTCTGAGGAGAACCAGCTCTTTTCCTGAGTCTGTGGCAGGACAAGGGTGCTGGGGTCCCATGGGGGATTCAGGCACTCACTCACTGGCAGCAGAGGCTTGCCTCAGCCCAGGGGTGACTGTACAGCTGGAATATTCTGACTCATATGGAAGAGTTGTTGATGGGGAGTGGAAAAAGACAGAAGAGTTGTGACATTTGAAGATGCCATCAGCAGCTGAAGTTTCCGAGTGGATGCGAGAGGGGGTTTCTGCTTTGCCTCAGAAGTGTGAGTAGCATGTGGGTTTCTGCAGAACCACAGAGAGAAAATGCAACATGCTGCGGGGTGAGGTCCCAGCATGTCCCAGCAGAGACCTGTCACCACTATGTGCAGCGTGGGGCCTGAATTAGATCCCACTTTGGTCTGCCAGGCAGGTTGTTACGTGCTGAACAGGACTGGACTGTGCTGGAGGATGGATCTGGGTCAGGGCTGAACCCCCAGCCCCAGGCAGGTCTGCACAGGACACCAGACCAGTCCCTCCATCCCCACTGCAGCCACATGCCTACAGCCAGGTCCTCTCTCATTTCCATGCTCCCTCCACAGCCTGGAAAGGGCTGAACCACTGACTGGGCCTATGGCACCCAGCCCACCCTACAGCACCATCCATCATCCTGGAGGTCCGATGCCATCTCTGGTGCTGCTCTCAGGCCCGTGCACAGCTGTGCCTGCAGAGGCTGCTGCGGGGGCTGGTGAAAGCTCTGACTCACCACATCGATCTGCTCCTCCTGCCTTCTCTCCGTGGTGTTTTCAGGTTCTGCTGGTCCCACATCAGAGCAACGAGAGGGATGCTGCTGCAAAGAGCTCTTTATTAGAAACAGTGGGTTTAGGACTGTGCAAGAGCTTATTTCTTATTACTAATTCTCAGAGAGCGGAGCTGCCAGCCTATGAAAACGTGCACAGTGGAAAATTGCTCTTCGGGGGCTAATGGGGCTTTCACAGTCACTGAGTGGGAACCGTTGTACCTGACAACCATGAGAGACGTGGTAGCATCTGAAATGATGAGGGAAAGTCAAACTCTTATATTTTGTGGGCTGCCAGTACCCAGAACCATCCCCATTTGCCTTTGAAAACCATGGGAGGCAGAGCTGCAAACAGCAGGGTCTGCTCTGAGCCTGTGCCCACACTGCTCTGTCTGCTTTCCCTCCTGCCTGTCACTGCAGCTGCCCTGCCACCCCTCTGGGACAGCCCAGAGCCACCCCAAATCCTCAGAGCCACCTCAAGTGCTGTCCAGCACATCTGTGTATATGGCAAACACCTGGGACCTCACCAAGGCCCTGTCACTCAGCCTCCCTGTGCAAGTTGCCTTTGTGATGGGTCTGTAGCTCCAGGTAGGTCCCTGGAGCAGCACAGAGCAGCAGCATCACAGCTGTGCTGCTGGACCCCATCCTTCAGCCCCAAAAGAAAGTCTTTGTGGGTTGACATGTGTGAGCTGCAACATCCAGGGCACTGACTCCTGCTGCACCTCCCTCTCAGTGATCTGAGCTGCTTGCCTTGGTCAGGAAGCCCACCAGGATGTGGGTGGGGACTGTGAGAGCCCCAAAAGCTGGAGCCTGAGTGCCGTGTGTTAGAGGATGTGCATGAAGAGTGCTGCAGGCTGACAGGCTGCAGAGAAGTGAATTTGGTGGCTCAGGCCTGGGTGGTTTCTCTCCAGGCAGGAGCTTTCCTGCAATTCAGTGGATTAGGACCCAAACAGGGTGATTGGGATGTTCAGGACAGCCCAGAGGGCTGTAGAGCAAAACTGATCCTACTTCATGTGCTGGTCTGAGCGTGCCCTCAGCTGGGCATGCATGGCACTGAGAAGGTGCCAAGGGCACCCTGACAGAGTCATATACCACCTAGCTTGGTCACCAGGTGCCCTTACTCTGCAGGACAACCTCCCCTGTATTGTCCTCACCGCCCACCACTGCTCTTCTCAGGGTCTGTGACACACAGCCAGGTCCTGCGCTCCCCACCCTTCAGATGCACAACAGGGGGTTTCTGCTCCTGTACCTGTGGGAATGGCAGCTCAGTCAACACCTTCCCACTTCCTGGCACTGCTCCAGTAGCTCTCTGCCCCTTAGGATCATTCATGCTCCTGTGCTGGGTGCACACTGGCTCACGATGCACTCTGAGTTTATGGCAGGGACGCTGTGTGCTTCCTCTCATGGCACCACAGCAAACGGCATGAGCCTGTCTCCAGGATTTTTCATTCTGTAACATGAAATCTGGCAGGATTCTGATTTTTTCCATCCTCTATTTTCAGAGGATGGAAAACAGGCTAGATACAGGTTTTTGTTAGGACAAAAGTCCCAGCTGGGTGGCATGCCTGTTTGAAATAGATGATAGCTTCATCTCAGCTCTTTCCCAGTCATATCCATGCCTGACAGATGGGGACTGGCAAACAGAGGTAATCAATGATCTCTGGATAATGCACCTTCAACTATTCCATGAGAAATGAGAGCCTCTGTTTTGTGGTCAGCAGGGTCATGGTCAGCCTTGTGATTAAACAATAGAGGCTCAGGCTGCTCATCATCCTGTCCCCTCTTCCTCAAGAAAGTCCCAGTGTGATGTCCCACCCCACAAGATAAGAGGACACAATAGACTTGAGAAACATGGATCTCATGCCATGACTTCAGAGGGACTTTCCATGTGGCACCTATGAAACAAGCACTGTTCAACCTGTCTGAGCCCCAGCCTCAGCGCAGGTAGGGAAAGGCACAGAACAAGTTGCCCTGTTCTCCTCTCCTCCAGGAATAATACCTCAGGATTTTAAGCTCTTGAAAGTTTAAAATCTTGTGCCTGTCAGTCACTTCCCCACTGCCCTTAGGAAATGTGGTGCTCATAAGCTGCAGTCACAACAACAAGGGCCTGGTTGAGGTCACCAGAGGGACCCATTCTAGCTGGATTTCTCTGAATTAAAGCCTTCCAGGGGAAGAGAAGTAATTAGAAGCATTTCCAGTTGGCTGATAGCACGGTAATTGGAAACTGAAGTCAGGGGAAAAAAACAAGATCTCTAATGGGAACTGGAAAAATCTCAGCACAGAGAGCTGGGCCAGGTCCCAGCTGACACAGCCAGTGGCTGGGGGCTGCCTCTGTACCTGCAGCTTTGGGAAGAGTGTGCACCACCTCAGTGCTGTTCTCTCAGAAAAGCCATCTTTCATGGCCCTGTCTCATGGATGGTGTTTTGGGACACTGGTGGGCCATCATCACTACCTGCTTTTTTCCAGAGAGTGAGGAGGAATATTTCCCTCTCCAAAGCTCCCCAGACCCCAGCACTTGCCCTGAATTGTGCCATTTTCCTGTTGCTGTGAAGCCCAGACTGATCTCTCCAGTCTGCAGGGGCATCCACCCCAGGAGTGTCCCCTGATGGCCCCAGCCAAGGAGTCCAGGACTACATCAGGCACCTGGAGCTCACAGACACATCCTCCAGAAGGAGGAACTGCATGGCAGCTTCTGGGATGGAGGGGAGAGGCTCCTCCCAGTGCCAGCAAGGTCAAATACTGCTCCAGCAAGGAAGCTCTCAGCAGCAGAGGATAAACCTTGTCACTGGCTGAGTCCTGTCCCCAGGGACCAGAGCATGCCCTGAGAACCAGCCTGGGATGCCCAGATGCCCAAAGGC